TTCCATAATGGTGGAAGCTTTTTACATCTCCGCGGATATGGTGTTTCGTCTTTTAGAAGAACAGTCATCAACTTCGAAAGTTTGTGGATTTATATTTTGATCATAATGTGATAATTTGTTCCTTACTATGTATTAAATTTTCACGAGCAAGTTTGTTAGCATATAGCAATCTGGATTTCAATTCATGAACAGAAGAGTCGTAATTATATTGATAATTGCTGATTTTGTTAAAGACAAAGGATTCTCTATTTTTCTACCAAATAACAATTCAAAAGGCGTGTAGTTGGTTGCGCCATGAATAGTGGTGTTATGAATAAAAACGGCATACTTAATGCATCTATCCCAATCGGTTTAAGTTTTATTAATATATGCCATAGAGCCATTCGACTCTTGTCTATATGGGAAGTTTTAATTTTTTTTATTTTTAATAATTTGCAAACATCTTTAAATAAGTTGCTGGTGAACGTAGTTCTCTGATCGGACAATATTTCTTTCGGAACCGAAAGAAATATTAAATTATATTAAGACCGAACTTTAAAACAATTTCTGATACAACTGCGTCTGCAACCGTTGCGCTCTCTTGGTTAGGTATGGGTATTGCGCCCGCAAATTTAGTGAGATCGCAAATGTATGTTAAGAGGTATTTATTTTCCGACTTAGAATATGGATACGGACCACAAATGTCAATGCAAATTTAAAAAAAAAAGGTTCTCTAGCGGTAGTTACTAAAGGTTGTTTAGTTAATCTAGATATTTTATTTTTTTTGCATTCCGTGCATTTGTTGACATACTCTTATATTTGTTTCCGCATTTTCGGCCACCTATAGATATTTCTAATTCTATTAAATGTTTTTTTATGTTCTAAATGTCCTCCCGTTAGTTGAGATTTATGAAATTGTTCTAAAATTTTATTTATTTCCTCTGTGGTTAAATCGTCAATTAATTAATTTAATGGTAATTTAATTAATTAATATCATGGTAAATTTTAACTTGTATATCAGTGTTTTTCAAAATATAGCGTATCAACGTTCTAAAATTTTCTAAGGAAATGTGACAAAAACTTTTAAATTGAATAGAAGAAGGAATAGCAATTAATTTGATATTTTGTTGAATTAAATATGTTCTTAAGTTATATAAGCAGTGGAAAAAGTTTTCGAGTGAAGGCTGAGAGTTCATATTATTTACAATTGAATAAAAAACAGATTTTTGACCAAAATTTATGGTGATATATTGATGCTTTTTATATTTATCGAGATATTCATTAAAGTTCGTATGCTGAAAGAAATCTAAGTAATTGTTTAATTTTTCATCGGATGGCTGATTTTTTATTACGAATAATAAAGCATTTTCTTTGTTTGCAATGGAAGTTAAAATTTTTTTGTTTGATTCTTGGATATTATTGTTAATTATAACTGAAGAACTAATGGTAGTTAAAGAATTTTCAAAGTTAATTTCTTGAACTACAGCTACGCGACATCTACATAAAAGTGACATTTGAACTGCATTGTCAAGAATATCATTTTATTAGTAGTATCTAAAGCTAATTTTTGTAAATCGAAAAAAGATCTAGATAAACTATCGGAATTGGTGTTAGATTTTCCTGATTTATAAATTATTTCAAATTCGTATTCCTCTAATTTGAAGGGTTTGCCATATAAATAAGGTCTAAAATGATTTATACTCCAGACTATAGCTGGCAATTATTTATCTAATGTGGAATAGTTCTTTTCGGCCGAATGTAAGATCCTGGACGCTTACGCGATAGGCAAAACTTTCCCGTCAACTTTTTGTGATAAGATTGCACCTAATGCAAAACCGCTGGCGTCGGTAGTTAAAGAAAACTCTCGTCAAAATCAGGATATTGTAATAAATGAGGATTCATTACCCTATTTTTTAATTCGTTAAAAGCCTCCTCGCACTTATCCGCCCAAACAAATTTTACGTCTGTTTTCAATAATTCTGTTAAAGGTAATGCGATTTGTGAGTAATTTTTAATAAATTTGCGATAGTAGCCAGATAAACCTAAGATATTTTAATTTCTTTCTGGTTAGTAGGAGAAGTAAAATTTTTTACTGCGGCTATTTTTTTGTGATCGGGAGAAACTCCGTTAGAGCTAATATTATGTCAAATAGAGCACACATTATCTCTTTGGTATATATAGGTAAAACAAAGTATTTTGTCTTTTAATTATACATTCACTTGTTTCTACTTACCACTATATTTCATATATACATATATCGCGCGGCATAAGATTTATTTTTGAGCATACAATATGCTGCACATTTTGTAGTAGGTGAAGTTCCAACTTTTATATCATTACATGTATTAGAAACAAAAATATTTTATCGATATTTTCTGGTTCTTTATACATTCCATTTTTTGTAATATTTTAATATTAGATTTTTCTTTTTATGTTGTTGTTTGTGCCATGCAAACTCTAGTGAAATATTTCATTTTTATTATCTGAACGCTTTATAAATACCACTTTACCAGCAAGTGCACTACTTTCATTTCAATTTCATCTTTCACATGCTATAATTTCATAAATTTTGTAAGTTACATATATTGTAACGACAATTGGTATTATCGCCAAAGGGTTGCACAACCTTCAGTGCAAATGGACTCCCCCACCTACTTCTACTAGGGTTCCTGCAATATAAGATCCAAGTCGAGGATTAAAAAGAGCATTAAGAAATGTAACATCCTCTGAGGAGGTCGGTCGGGTCCAGGCGCGAGTCGCTGGACCCGCTTTGTGTATAGTGGTGTGTGTGTTGTGCCAGGAGAGGAGAACCCGTCCAGCAAAGGTCAGATGTATTGTTTAAAAGCTATTGCCTCCGTATAGATTTAATCATCATTAATAATTTATTAATTAATTATTACTTATTAATTAATTATTAATTATTATTTATTGATATTAATTATTAATACCACTATATAAATAAAGAATAGATTAATAAAAAATATACATAATAATAGTATATCGGTATATGATTACCATTCATGCTACAGCGCAATGTATACAAATGCAAGTAGACTAAGTTAGTCCTAAATATATTAAATAATATCTTGATTTTTTTTTTTAATTAGATGATATAAGAATGTATTGAATATAATATCTCAACCTATAAATACTCATAATAATTATTGAACCACTGCACTATTGTGTATCATCCTTAATTAAAATATTTAAGCCCGCAAAAACCACACATAAGATAACAAAATACAGACAGTATAAAACTAATATAATTTTGGAATTTAACTAATCACGAAGTTTTTGATAATTATTAAAGAAATAATTCTCTTTTTAATTTTTGTGTGCTCTACACCTTTGTACCAGTCGATTTTGCACTTTTCTTATATTTGAGTGTCAATTCAATTTTATATAATTTAGTTATCACCACAATACAATATATAATTATAATGCCGCAAAATTTCAAATATTTGAATTAAGGATGATACACAATAGTGCAGTGGTTCAATAATTATTATGAGTATTTATAGGTTGAGATATTCTATTCAATATATTCTTATATATCATCTAATTTAAAAAAAAAAATCAAGATATTATTTAATATATTTAGGACTAACTTAGTCTACTTGCATTTGTATACATTGCGCTGTAGCATGAATGGTAATCATATACCGATATACTATTATTATGTATATTTTTTTATTAATCTATTCTTTATTTATATAGTGGTATTAATAATTAATATCAATAAATAATAATTAATAATTAATTAATAAGTAATAATTAATTAATAAATTATTAATGATGATTAAATCATATAATATACTTGTGCAATATATAAATAATATATATTTAATTATATAAAAATATAGTTATTATTATACATATACATATAAATATATAATTATTAAAAATATAAATGTATATATCTTGTGTTTTATTAAAAATGTTTTAATTTATCAAGACGCGCGGCGAGCAATGCTGTTGCTAGTCGTTGCGAATGAGAGACGACTTACACGGGTGCTATATGAGCGCGAGCGTGTACTTGCTCAGGTTTTTTCTAATTTTGAATGTGTTCTACCACATGAAATAAAACAAAATTTTGCACGCTAAAAGAAAATTGAATAGCCGTTCTAATGATGCTAATTAAAAATTAGTCCAAACAACCGCACTACCCGAAAATTCAAAACGAAAAATTATTTTCACTTTTTCCTGCACTAAAAAATAATTATTAAACAATATTTGTTATAAAAAATATAGTAGACATCGATATGCATATAATCCCGTTATTTGTTTTTTGATATCTTTCACCGTTGCGACAAAAAACGACTTTGAAAAAAGGGGCCACTTTCACACATTTTCAATGATATCTCGGCCAAATGATGAGCCACGGATTTGAAATTTGGTATATCGGACTTTCTCGAAAATACCTATAAAATGGCATCAAAATTATTTAAATACCAGGGTGGGGCCAATTCTGTATGGAAACACGCCCATACCCTTTATTCTATATACTATTTTGCAAAACACTTCCTTATTCTTTGCCTGTTTATGCTAGACTGAATATTCATTTTAATTTCAGGCCCGACGGAATACATTTTATTGACATATTTTATAACCTAATTATATGAGCCGTCGAGCCTGGGCAGGATCGTCCCTGTTTACGGGATTAACAAACCTTTTCCTGACCGTTTTATGTAATAATATTTTACAATGTTACAGCGACGGTCACACCAGATGTTCTGGTTTAAAAATTATCCATTCTCCGCCGCCTTAATTATTCACTTATAATTAAGATCAGTATGTATATAAGTATGTAATTTTACAATGGCATTATGTACTAATTAAAATTACAAAGTAATTGTGAAATTATGTGAATGTATTGATCACAACAGTTTATATAAAAAAGGATTATTGACAAATACCAATATGAATTTTATAGTAAAACATAATTCTTAATACTAATTTTAAAATAATTGTACTGTGTAAATAATGAAAGTACAGTAATATATTTATTTTATGAGAAAATTCTATTCTACATCTTCTACTGGTAAAGGGCACAATTTAACAATTGGCCTTATAAATATATCATTTTTTGTTTTTACTGTAGCTACTCTCACATTTTTATCTTTGCCGATTGCAGTGCCTATAACGCGACCCAGTAACCAGCTTAATGGAGGTAAATTATCTTCCTTTAAAAGAACTATGTCGTCCACTTTTAAATTTTTTGAGGAAGTTTTCCATTTGTAACGACTCTGAAGCTGACCGAGATACTCTATGGACCAACGTTTCCAAAATTTATCTTTTAATTGATTAAGTTGTTGCCAAAGTGATAATCTACTTAACGTTACGTCGATTAAGCTGGGTTCCGGAAATGCGGTAAGTGCTTCACCTATCAAGAAATGTCCGGGACTTAAAAACGTGGGTTCATTACTATCATCAAAAACACTTGTAATTGGCCTTGAATTAACTATTGCTTCTATTTGGGTTAAAACCGTGGAAAATTCTTCGTAAGTTAGACAAGTTTCTCCCACTACTCTTCGCAAATGATGCTTAATTAATTTTACCGCGCTTTCCCACAAACCACCAAAGTGTGGTGCGTGGGGTGGATTAAATTTCCACTCAATGCCCTCTACGGCAGCCGCGTTAATCACCTCGTTTCTACTATGCTCATTTTTAAACAAATTATACAGCTTATGTAACTCATGCCTAGCGCCTATGAAATTTGTACCATTGTCAGAAAAAATTTTACTGCATTTGCCTCTGCGCGAGATAAAACGTTTCAAAGCAGCTATAAATGCGTCGGTTGTCAAACTGGTAACTAGTTCCAGATGTATGGCTTTTGTACTAAAACAAATAAAAAGTGCTATGTAGCCCTTCATTTGCGGTGCTTTTCGTAGCCCACTTGTACGCAAATTGATTGGGCCTGCATAGTCTACTTCGGTATTTAAAAAAGGACGAGCTATGGTTACTCGTTCAATTGGTAGATTTCCCATTATCTGCTGAGAGCTAGTAGAATTAAAACGAAAGCAGCGCACACAATTTTTGATTATAGGTTTTATTGCGATTCTACCTTTGATTGGCTAAAACTGCAGTCTAACATTAGCTAGAACGGTCTGTGGACCGGCATGCAAAAGACGGACATGTTCTCGTTTTAAAATTATATTTGTTAAATGATTATCGGCTGGTAATAACAATGGAAACCTTTGTTCATATTCTATGTTTGCCATTTGTATTCGACCCCAACGTGTAATAGACCCTTCTCATCTAAAAATGGATTTAAACCTAAAATCTGTTTATCTATTTTTGTACTAGCAGACCCGCTGTTCAAATATTTGAGAATGTTTTCAAAATTTTGTTTTTGAACGATTTTAACAATATGGTGTAATGATTCTTGTAATTCGGTTACTGTCAGCGGTCCGACAGTTTTATTCTTGCAGTTTTTAATAAACCTAATACAATAAGCCATTACGCGTTGGAGTTTATTAAAACAAGAAAATCGTAGGAACATGTCGTCCATCCTCTGTGAACAAGTATTTATTTTTCTTTGAACTGTTTGTTCGGGAACTTCAAAATTGATATTATCCGTTACTTTAAAAATTGACGGCCAGGAGTCAGTTTCAAATTTAAGCCATGCTGGACCATACCACCACAAGTCCATGTTTATTAACTTATGACCGTAAATACCGCGCGAAATGAAATCGGCCGGATTGTCCGTTGTCGGCTCCGTAAGCTTTCATGGAGGCATCACAAAAACCATGAATTTTAATCCGATCAATTTTGTCTAATTCAAATAACGGACGCGGAATGATTATATTTTGCATGTGTATTATATTATTTTCAAAATCGAGCCAACGGTTCATAATAGTGCTATCAGCAACTTCATCCCAATCGGTTTTTAGCTGCCATATATCTTGCATTATTAATTTAGCTAAAACTACACAAGGCGAAATAAGGCCGAGAGGGTCGAAAATTTTGGCAATAGATGATAAAATGGCGCGCTTTGTTATTTGTGATGATGGAATTGAAGCATTTGAAGAGATTTGAAATACATCTTTCTTGGGGTCCCACAATAAACCCAAAGCCTTAATTATATTTTTATTATCGATTAAATTGAACGCATTCGTTTCGCGATTTTGTCAAGGAATCAATAATGCTACTGTTGTTTGCAGCCCATTTATGCAATTGAAAATTGCCACGATTAAAAAGTTGTATTAGTTCCTCCTTTAACTTTATTGCCTCTTCTAATGAATTTGCACCCGAAATAATATCATCCACGTAGCAATCGTGTTGGACAGCGCGTGAAGCTGAAGGAAAGCTCTCTCCCTCATCTAATACGAGTTGATTCAGCCAACGAATAGCCAAATATGGCGCACAAGCAGTTCCATAAGTAACTGTAGATAAATTAAAACATTTAATTTTGTCATGAATATTTTCACGCCATAAAATTCGTTGCAAATTTTGATGTTCTTCATTGACGCGAATTTGTCGAAACATTTTTACAATATCCGCGGTCATTACATAAATATACGATCTAAAGCGCAGTAAGATAGTAAAAATATCCTGTTGTAATTTTTGTCCTGTATAAAGAACGTCATTCAGAGAAATGCCTGTTGATGTTTTCGCAGACGCGTCAAAGACAACTCGGATTTTGTCACACCTATTTTTAAAAACCGCGTGGTGGGGCAGGTAATATGCAAACGAATTTTGTGAGATATTTTGTTCAAAATTAGGAACTTCATAAGCATGCCCTAATTTAATATATTCATTAATAAAATCGCAATATTGTCGTTTCAAATTCTCATTTTTGTTAAGGCGAGTTTCTAAATGTAAAAATCTACGCTTTGCTTGTTGCAATGATTTGCCTATAGCTGTTGAAGCATTTGGTTTTAATGGTAATGCTACGGTGTATCGACCATTTATATTTATAGTTACGTTATTTACAAAATTCTCTTCGCATAACCTATCGTCTAAGTTTGGAATTTCCTCGTGATTAATCTCTTCTATCTCCCAAAATCTCGAAACTGCTTTATTTAATGTAAGATTATTTACAATAAACGTTCTTTTATAATTTGACAAGTTTTCATTGTTCGGGTAGGCTAATCCGCAAACAAACCACCCAAACACTGAATTTTGTAAAACCGGCAAATTATGTCCTAAAGATATGCTTTCACCTCTTAAGATTTCAAAGAATGAACCGACCCCGATTAACATATCAATATCGCCAAGTATATAAAAGTGGGGGTCCGAGAGAGTAACATCTACAGGTAAATTTAGCTGGGACGGATTTATGTAATTCGAAGGTACTTTGTTTGTAATTTTTTCTAATATGACGAACGATAACTGTTTTGAAAAACTAGAAGACTCGTTTGAAATCGATACGCGTGCAATTGAATCGCCATTTATATTGATGCCATTAACTCCAGTCAGCTGTACGGAACTTGGAACGGTGTTTATACCTAGAGAATCCACTAACCTTTGGGTAATAATATTTATTTCTGAACCCGTTTCTAGAATGCACCGTACACGAATTTTTTCCCCCGAAATATGTTTGACAAATAAACAAATAGTCAGTAATAGAGCGCACGTGTTATTTAAATTAGCATTCAAAACTTATGATGCAGGTAATACCGCAGTAGACGGCCCGGGAGATTGCGGGTTATTTGCTTTAGTTTGCAGACTCTGTTCTAAATGTAATAAAGAATTATGAGGTTTATGACACATTTTACATTTATATTTTGATTTACATGATCGGATTGTATGTCCGTCACCTAAATATTTCAAACACATTTTATTTTCGCGAATGAAAACTAACCTTTCTGAAACTGGTTTTTCAATAAATTTGTTACATGTAGAAAGATGATGTGCATTTGTACAGAGCTTGCAAACTATCGTTTGAATATTTGAAACCGAAATCAAAGCTTTTCGTTTGAAATGAGTTTTGTCCGGGTCTATGTCTAACTTACGAGAAAGCTCCAACGCCAAACAACTATTTTCCAAAAACTTAAAAAGTTCCGATACAGTCGGCAATTCCTTTTGTGATCGAAAGGTATTAAATTTTATTTTGGTATCTGTATCTAATTTATTCAATAATAAAAAGGCCATTAAAAGGTCTCAATTTTCAACTTTTATGCACAGCGCTTTGAGAGAATTTAGATTTTGCTGTGCAATATTCAAAAAAGATTTTAAAATTTCGTATGTACCTTTCGAACTCGTTGGAATATCCATAATTTTTTGTAAATGTGAATAGACAATTATACACGTGTTTTCAAATTTTGCAGATAACAAAGCCCATGCTTCAAAGTAATTATTGTCAGTGAGGGCTATATTATTAATTATAGCGGCAGCTTCTCCCGACACATGACATTTCAAATAGTACAGTTTTTCGACATCCGATAAATTAATATTATTGTGGATTGTGGATGTAAATAAATCTCTAAAATAATCCACTTATTATATTTACCATCAAAAGTTGGAATTTGAATATTCGGTAATTTTATGGCTAAATTGACACAATTTTTACTATTATTTTGTGTATTATTTGAATTGTCTATGTGATGCGTGAATTTAATGGTTAGCTTTAGGTAAAGATTATCTATTAAAACATCTTCATCCTGTTCGTCAAGCGAGTCGTGGATGGCTGCCCTAACCTTTTCGTACTCCGCGAATCTATTGTCAAACATGCTTTTAATACCTTTTATCATTTCTGAAGAATGTTGATCCCAATTATCATTATTTAACCTTTCAAGATAAGATTTGAAGCTTTGTTGCCTTCTTAAAAAATTTTTAAGTTCTGCCATTTTAATTGTTTTTAGAACTCAAGATAACTTAATTTAATTTTTTGATAGGGAAGCGCAAACCGTTACAAAATTTTACGTATAACAGGCGTTATGCAATATCAGCGGTTATATCAGAATTTAAATCTATAATCAATTGATTATTTAACAATTCTAATTTAATAATATTAGAATTGGAGTCTAGCACATCAGTAACATAAGTTGTGGTGTAAATAAATTAACAAATATATAAACCAATAATTAGTAATGTTTATAATAACTAATATAATATTTCATAACAATTAATAACCTAAGGATTTACGAAATTGGCCCAAAATCTTAGAGCAAGATCCAATTTCAATCAATAATATGTCCAGGTTTATATAATGAAATAAAATTATGGCTTATCTGGTGTAGTGTTGATTTGACGGAAAACGTGGCGGTATCTTCGAGTGGATCCAAAATACTCGGATGGTGCTGAAGAGATCACTGTTACTCGGATGGTGCTTCACGTTCGTGGTGAATGCCTCAAAATAGTAGGCTGGACGCTTCCGGCGTCGCTATCGTATCAGTATTGGATTACGGCGGTGCCTCGAATCAGTAATGGATTCGAGCAAATGCAGCAAAAGCGACCCTTAATTTCACCGTAAATTACACGTCTTTACAACAACGATAACTTTGTCAGTGCCTCACTGCACACAACAATTTTAATATTATTAGGTGTATTTGTAAGATAAGTTTTGAATACTTTTACAGTTTCACTTTCACAATCACTTTTAATTTAAACTCAGTTATTTAGAGACATTTATTAGTCAGTACTAATAAGCTTTTGTCTTGATAACTGGTCTGTCCAAAGCTTGAATGCGTGGCTCAAAACGTTGATTAAAATCAACTTTAAAAATCTGGTTCGAAGATGACCAAATGGAGCGATTTACATGACGTCGTTGTTGATGCTTCGATAGTGGACTGTAATTTTTATTAATCGACGAAATGCGAAATCCCCACGATGATTGTTTTAGAAAATGAAACTTCTCTTATATTCACATTAAATTTATTCTATATACTATTTTACAAAACACCTCCTTATTCTTTGCCTGTTTATGCTAGACTGAATATTCATTTTAATTTCAGGCCCGACGGAATACATTTTATTGACATATTTTATAACCTAATTATATAAGCCGTCGAGCCTGGGCAGGATCGTCCCTGTTTACGGGATTAACAAACCTTTTCCTGACCGTTATATGTAATAATATTCTACAATGTTACAGCGACGGTCACACTAGATGTTCTGGTTTTAAAATTATCCAATATAATTTAATATTGAATTCTTGTTTTCGGAATTTTCTCCATTTATGACTTTTATAAAGTTGCTGCTGATGAGTGCGTCTGCTTTGGTCTGTACATTAATGAGGTTAATCCACTTTCTTCATATTTTTTTCATTTTTTTTATTTGAATTTTATATAAATGGCTTTGCCATATAAATTCATTCACTATATACTGAATTTCTTTAATTATAATCTTTGGGCCAGTTATGATTTGCGCAATATACTGTGGCGATATCAAGCAGGCTGGTTTTGATTTGTAAAAAAAAATCGGACATGTCATGTATATTTTTGATATCGAAATATTTTTATAGTTAATAAATTTATATATTTTTTTATTGTTGGGAGTTTCTAATTTGATATATTATCATAATCATAACAACTCCCACATTGGTGACTCACGACGATGGAGATGAAGATAAAGGAGTTTTATTTTTCGAAGATTTAAGAAAAATTGATTTTGACGCAGCACCATAATCACTGGTCTTCAGTGACGTCCTATAAGGTATGTCCAGTCCAATCCATCATAGTTAACGCACTTACTATCTGGATCAGACTTCCGAGGTTACTCATTTGGTATACCCAGACCTCAGTGTTTATTGCTGACAGAAAAAATAATTTGGAGCCTGAACTTCTCATTGGAATGCAATTCAACCTCTCTTTCTCTGTTAACTCAACAAATCGTCTTATAATGCTACCTCCCATTATCGGTGACAACGACGAATCAAAACAAAATTTGACATAATTTATTGGATTCCACAATTCTGGACTCTTATGTCAAAGAAACCAATGATCCTGATTTGGATAAAGAGCCAACTTCTTTCTCTGATCGGAACTCATCAGATACGAATGCAACGCTTGCAGAAATGGAAACTGTACCCATAAATTATGCATTCTAAACATTAAGTTATTCTGATATAACTAATACCCATTAGATCGAGAACATTATGCAGAATATGGAGTTGATGGCAGGTCAAATCACCACATACGGTGGATCTGCTGACGAAACATGGAAATTTATAATTGACCAGTATTACAACACTGGTCTGCTATAATCTGCTTTCCCACCACATTTTTATAACGTGTTTCCCTGTATTTTTTTTTTTAAACTGTGAGATCAACACTGGGCAGGGAGTGTGTGGCGATATCATCAAGCAGGCTGTTTTTGATAGGTAAAAAACAATCGGACATGTCATGTATATTTTTGATATCGAAATATTTTTATAGTTAATAAATTTATATATTTTTTTATTGTTGGGAGTTTCTAATTTGATATATTATCATAATCATAACAACTCCCACAATACCATAATTTTGATAATGCATATATATTCACGAATCTTACTGAATCAGATTGAAGTTTCTACTTTCGCCATTATATAATATATTTCTGACACTAGTTTTTACTCTATTCCAGTTTTTCATGGTTGTATCTTCTAAATTTCTTCTAAATGTTAATCCTAAAACCTTAATTCTATCAGTTATTTCTATGTTTGTATTTATTTGCCTGCTTCTCCAATTTCCTACTTCTAAAATTTTAGTCTTGGATTTATTTATGGTGAGATTTGAAGTGTTCGACGCATTTTCATATTCATTTTTTTATAGTGTTCTAAAATATGTTTAATCATTTCAGTTCATTTATATTTCTCATAATTATAGTCACGTCATCAGCATATGCAAAATGCTGTGTTCTATTTAATGTTTTGTGAAAAGTCCTAATTAGCGGTTCTAAAACCATACTAAATAGCAACATTGATAATGGACATCCTTATAGATTGTTCAATTCGAATATTTTTTGTTGTGTATCCATTTATTAATACTTTTGACTTCGACTACTTATAATAATTTTTAACAAAATTAATAACTTTTGATGGGAAATTCATTTTATTCATTATTTGGAAAAGAAATGTATGTGATACCGTATCAAATGCTTTTTGGAAATCGATATTCACAATTCCCATGTTTTTATTTTTTTACTCTATGGAAGATCTTATTCCTTCTAAATTATATGAGATATTTTTATTCGGTACCACATGTTTGCTCACTACCTAATATTTTACTAACTTTAAATTTTATTCTGTTAGCAAGAAAATTATTTAGTATTTTTATATC